AAGGCTAAGGTTAAGGGTTAGGGTTAGGCATGTGTTGGTTATGGTTAAGGTTAGGATAAGTCTCCAGGAAATGCATGTAAGTCAATGTAATGTCCCCCGAAGTGATGTATACATGGGGGGTGTGTGTGTGTGTGTGTGTGTGTGTGTGTGTGTGTGTGTGTGTGTGTGTGTGTGTGTGTGTGTGTGTGTGTGTGTGTGTGTGTGTGTGTGTGTGTGTGTGTTCAGACCCCTAGATCTGTAGGCCTCTGTGACAAATTAGATAGTAGCAGTAAGTAGCAATCTTTTTGTCCCTTTTGTAAATATTCGGTTTTGTAAACATTTTTATAAGTATCAAGCCAGAAGTGTTAGTAAGAAGACCTTTTGTTTGAACCCCGATTTCTCCTGTTTTGGGGTAGGAGCCCGGTAAGAAGCCTGTCTTCTGTTTGATTTGTTTGATTTTGTTAGGTAAGTTTAGGGTCCTTTTTGAACAGAAGTTGTTGTTTGTTGTGTTGGCTATGTCTCACGTGCGAATAATTAATTAAACTGCTTATGGTAATTTTCTTTGTCCCTGACCTTTTCATGGGAGTGGGAAGATGGGGAGGGCGCATTTTAGTGCTATGCCTAGGTTCCCCTAGACAAAGGTGGCTCTATAAAGAAGGCTATTCATTTTGGTAGATGGCTGTTTTCCCCCACTTTCCTTAAAAACACCATGTCAGATCACATGTGTTACAAGCACCATAAGCAAACCTTTGAGCTTATATGTTCATTCATCAATGTATTAGTGCTGATGTGCAGCATCTTTCAAGATAAACAGCGTACCTCCAGCGTTATCTCTCACCAATTCCAACTAAGGCCCCAGCGGGGACCTTGCTCCCTGCGTGTGCCTGTCTGTGTATTTGCATGTCCCGATTAAGCGAGCCTCCCCCCAATTTTTCTTTTTCTTTTGTGTCTATATCTACGCCGGGATCCGGAGTCAAGGCTGATCCTCTTGCTGTGGTCCTGTGCCCTGGATCCTCTATCCTGTGTTCTGGATTAAGTCGTGGTCCTGCCTGGGTCTCGTCATGCTGCTTCCCTGATGGCTTCCACAGGATTGTTGACATCCTCGTAGATTCATCTTCTTATTATAGACACATGCATTTCCTAACATTCGGTCAACCTACGCTGTAAAATGTATTATCTCTTCGATTTACACACGGCATCTATTGCATGTCTGTCTGTCCTGGGAGAGGGATCCCTCCTCTGTTGCTCTCCCTGAGGTTTCTCCCAAGTTCCCTTTTAAACTGTGGGTTTTCTCCAGAAATTTTTCCTTGTACGATGTGAGGGTCTAAGGTCAGAGGGTGTTGTTTTCTCATACTGATATTCTGCACAAACTTAGCTGTTGTATTTGCTTTAAAGTGTCCTTACTGTAAGGTAATTATTAGTATTATATGTACAGCACTTTGGCTCGACCAAAAACTGTTTTAAAAATGTGCTATATAAATAAAACTTGATTTGATTTGATAAAGTCACATTAATCAGTTTTGCAGAGGAATGAGAAACATGCCACCAATGTCCAAAACGTATCCGGGCTAGCTAGACATGAGACACTTGTACAAAAAGTACGTGAATTGACAGCAGCTTTTGTGGGTTTCAGTGTACCTGAATGATGAGTCCAGGGGCCATGGATGTTAGATCCTCCTGTAGAGTCAGCTTCAAGTTTTCATCGATTTGGTCTGTGGGGGGAAAGTACGAGAGACACAAGGCATGTAGGTGAGCTGGTGAGAATACAAATAAAGATATCCTAGTCCCATTGGTTTAGTTTGATTTGAATGTCTCTACAGATGTCAGATTTGAGTCTAAGTCAAAAAATCACATCTAAAACGGTATGTTTCAAGTTATCTGACAAAGAGAGTACGAAGACATTTCATTTCAGACTTCAAATGAAAACACTTGTTGAGAAAAATCAGAGAATATTATAGTCAATGTATATCTGCCACAGCAGTTATAAACATCAATGTTAGTCAACTAGGCCAGTTAAAGAATATTTAAAATGTCAATATATATTTGAATAAGAAAACAAATAGAAAGACAGTGGAATGTGAAAATCAACATTGGATTGTAAATTAAGTCAGACTAGTATTTATTTCCACCTGTTAACCTTAAAGTGTTCATTTTGAAGAAAATGTAGTTTTACTGTCTTAAGTGTCGTCTCATGTGATGCAAGTACAAGAAGAACATAATTGAATGTGATGAAGTACAATATGGTTATTTTAAACCATGTATTAATCAAATTCAAGAACTTTGCATGGTATCTGAAAGACAAAACTACTGCTGACCAACTATCAGTGTTTGAACTTCTTCCCTGTCTCTGTCTATACCTGTGTACTCTCATGTTCCGATTAACCCAGCTTCCCCAAATTTCTTTCTTTTTGGTGTCTATATACGCCGGGATCCGGAGTCATGGATGATCCTGCGGTCCTGTGTCATGGATTGCGAGTCCTGGATCTTGAGCCGTGGCTGTGGTCCTGGATCATAAGTCCTGGATGGATATACTCGTGGATTCATCTTCCTATTATACACACATGCATTTCCAAACATTTGGACTACCTATTTTGCAAATGTATTATCTTTTCAATTTACACACGGCATCTATTGCACGTCTGTCCGTCCTGGGAGAGGGATCCCTCCTCTGTTGCTCTCCCTGAGGTTTCTCCCATTTTTCCCTTTAAACTGTGGGTTTTCTCTGGAAGTTTTTCCTTGTACGATGTGAGGGTCTAAGGACAGAGGGTGTCGTATTGTCATACTGATATTCTGTACAAACTGTGAAGTCCACTGAGACAAATGTAACATTTGTGATATTGGGCTATATAAATAAACATTGATTGATTGATTGATTGAACATATTGTAAATAAGTCAGTAAAGTTAATCAGTTGCCAAGTGTTGGAGTTTCTTTGTCTCTCAGAGTGTTTTACAACAGCTCTGTTCATTTAAAAGGGTGTGTACATAGTTTTTGATCTAGTGACAAACTTAATGTTGCACTTCTGATAATTTAAATGTGGTTTCACCTGTGATGTACTGTATACTGCACTTCCTATAGTTAGTGTTTAGTCCCTTTCTGTTTTACAACATGTTTGTTCTTTGTTCATTTAAATACTTTAAAATAGGTGTGTACATAGTTTT